TTTTTTAAGGGGGTGGATTCTGTGAAGACTGATGAGCTTGTTTATGGTCCAGTCCACTTGTAGTTGCATCGTTATAACTCCAATTTTTAAGTACTTGCTGAGTAAATTTTGGGACCCATCTTACTCTCCTATTTCCACATGTATCAATTGTGACATGCAAATTGAAATTTGAGAACTTGTTATTTATTTCCTTCATTTCTTCACCCCACAAAATCCTCCAATTTTGACTCCAAAGGAGATTGAGTGGCATGATTCTAGCTGATTTGAAAATTGAAAAATGTTGCATTGCCTCTTTGTCCATTGTCTTGTTTGCCATCTACACTGCCTTTGTAAATGGTTGTATAACCATGGGCGGCGAAAACCTAATCGTCAGAACTTGTATTCTTTCCAGTGACAGCAATTGTTATTCCTGGAGTGGCCAGAGTTTTAGTGACACCTCCATGTCCATCCATTATGATCCTTCTCTACCTTTTAGAATGCATGTCCTATTTTGCATTCGACCTCTCCCATATCTTATCACAGAGAAAAACTAGCCTTCCAAGTTGCTTTGCACCTCTGCTTGCAGCTATCCATTATCCGCATACCAGAGAGCAGATGAGATTCTCATACAAAGAAGTGATTAGTTGTTGCACATCCAATTTGATTCCCTCTTACTGAGATTGATCTTAAAAATTCAATTTGATTTTTTTTTCCTTGAATTCACAAGTGTCCCTACTCCCTGTCATTCCCCTGCATCTGGTCTCAATAATTTCCCCTCAATGGAAAATTCCACCCAAACTTGTTGGTGGCCCCCATTACATGTGCAGTCTTATTTTGTGATGCACTAAGGAGAGAAGTCGATGTGGCAAGACCTTTACAGGCATTGACAACTTTGTTCAATTTTTGGATTGCAGTTGATCATTATGGTGCTCTTCCAGCAGAGATCCAGTGGTAATGCCTCATTTAGTTCACTAGGGAGATATGGGATGTTTTCAAAAGCTAAGTATAATGAAGCTTCTTATGAAAGAGGGAAAGAGACGTAGTCAAGTACTAAGGATGTCTGTGCCTTATCCATATTGATAAACTCTTGAGCTTTATTGGGATGGCGAAGAATCTTCCAGATATTTCTCAATCTAACTTCTTTGAGCATGTTCCTTGTCTGTTTTGATTCGGTTCTCATCAGCTGGAGCTTGTTACTTTTTGTTTTGGGAATATGTAGGTTAAGACAGAGCTTTCATGATCTTGTCAAGGCCTAGTGAATTGAGAAGGATCACTCGGGTATCACAAGTTCCAAAGTCTTCAATACGCAAGCCTTTGTTAAATCAAAGATTAAGCTCTGGAGAGAGGAGGTCTTCTCTGGTCTACTAAACTAGAGGGATTTCATTCTAGTTGCAAGTAATAAGCTAGATTGGAAGGAGGGGGCACGGAGGGCCTTTCTAGAGTTGACCTGGAGAAGAAAAACCTTGCAAAGTTAGAGACCATTAATCAATTGTCTGTGAAAGAGATAAGGTGATGACAACAGTAGGAAGACTAACTCTTCCATAGGAGGGCTACACCTAATAGGACAAATTTTATTAATAATCTTATGAATGAGGACAAAAAGATTGAGTCCAATCTGGTATGAGGCTAGCATCAAAGGCTTTTTGTTGTGAGTTTTACTAGGAACATAAGTTTGAATACTAGCTTGGATGGTTTGGACTTCGTAATTTGGTGGAACAAGGAATGCAGCTTCAACTTTGTTTCTAAGGTGGAAGCAGTAAACACTTAACAATCACGTACTGTGGACAAAGCTCTAGTATAGATGGTTTCGCTATCCTTCAGCTCTTTCTTCCACTAATCTGGTTGTTTTGTTAAATCCTCCATTTCCATTGTGTTGGTTCCCA